GTATACTTCTCATTGGCCAGCAATGGCAGCCACTTCCTGGGAAGAAGAGTTTCGGCAGGCATAGCAGCTTCTCTGGAAAGCAAACATTGGCAATAAAAATGCCCCCCTCTTCCTTCTCCTTCACTTAGCTGACATCATTTAGTATGGAATATCCCTTTGGTTAATTTGGGGCTGATGTCCGAGTTGTGTACCCCGTATCTTGTCCTCTCTCGGTCCCTTGATGGGGAGGATATTAGAGACACAGTGCTGACCTGTGACAGTTCTGCTCAGAAGAAGCCAAAACACCGACACCCTTCCAGCCACCAGTGCAGAGCACAGCACTGTGAGGGCTGCTGTGGTGAAAATGGACTCCAGCTCACTCCTTTACAGTTTCCATCTTTCTCAAAAGCATCTTAAAATTAATATCTTGAGCAGCTCTACAACTTCTTGCTACTGGGCTGCTTCTCTTCCATTTTGGCTTTGCATAGACTGAAAATTGCATTAAGATCAGCATTCTTCAAATAACTTCAGTCCTTATTTGGCTACTCAAGAGCCCCATCCAAACATCTGGGGTTCTTTTCTGGGTGAAAGAATGGAGTGCATTGGAGACAAAAGCTGAACCAAAAGTGAATCTCTCAAATTTAACAGCAGATTAGGTGAAGCCTTTGAGATTTTCTTAACCAGTAAACCTATAATTTCCTTAGAGAAATTTTGATCTCTGCTTTTCCCAAGGGATAAATTGCCTACAAACTATGTCATAACATATTTGAGTTGAAGGCTTAATGGGTTTTGCAGGTAAGTCAATAGTTTGTTCTTAAAATTCCTTAGAAGCAAAAGGAAGGGGAGGGGAGGAAAAGGGAATGAAGTGGATGTGAGACAAGGCTAGGGAAATAAAGACAAGGGACCACCAATGCAAACCATCCTTTTTTTTCCTCTTTATTTTTTGACACTGATACTGTAATCAGGTTTGCACTTATTGTGGGAATTTTTATTATTGGGATTCAAGAAGTGACCCTACAGAAAATTCTATTTTCCTTCCCAAATTTCATGTTAAACTATGAAAGATATGCATGACATCATGATACTTCTAAATTCAGTCATAATATATAGATTTCCTAGAGAGTATATAAAAAATAGGTATAAATGGTCCCAAGTTTTGTGTTACATATATGAAAGTTAAAAAATCCAAATATTCCTATATTGTTTAAGCTTTTGTATTTTCATCCACAAGGCAAAAATCAGAGCTAAGTACAGATCAACAGCCAGGTGTATGACTGTTTATCTACATTTTATGCATACAATAGCTATCACTCAACATGAATAAAAAGTACATTAATTCTTATACAAATGACATTTCCTAAAGACAGACTTTTAAAACAGATACCTAAATAAAAATGTGTGCACCTGCAAGCTTAAAAGGCCACTGGAAGCTATCAGCATGGAAAGCATCACCTACAAACAGACTCTGTTTAAAACGGGACTGCATTTAACATCTGTAACCTATTTAATTTTACATTTTTGCTGATTTACTTGTTTTCTAGCAGTTGCATGTAGCTTTTTTTCTTTAATTGACTATTTCCCTATTATACATATAGACCATCACTAAATACTTGTATGTATTCACTTAGGTTGATCTAGTCCGGCAGGAAAAGTCAATCAAAGCAATTATTTGATATCTGAAATAAACAATTTCTGCTAAAAGAAATCTAGAAGATGATGAGATACAGACAAACATACAAGTTTGGCTGGCAGTTTAAATCAGGTTAAACTCTTTCATTCTTTTAACCAAGGCATTTCTACCTTTCCCTGACACTGAGGAAGTTTAACCATGTGCCAAAATGGTATCTGCTTGTCTGGTTCATATTGCATTGAGAGAGAGATATTTGCATAAAATGCATTTAACCCATTTTAGATTTTTACTTTCAGATTAAAGAAATTAATTAGGCTACTACATAATCATTTTAAGGAACATTAATTTGTTTTCTTAGTCAAAACACAACAGCAAGATAAAGCATAAACCCCACTAATGGTATGATCAAGTTCTGCCTTAACAGATATCATGGCTCTTTTTAAGAATTTTATATGTTTAATTTTTTAAATAGATTAGAACTCAATATTTCTCAGACCAAGAGTACTAGTTACTTGATAGTATTTAAATTAGGATTGCACCTGTTTCTTTAAAATAGAGGCCAAGAATTTTTAAACTTTCTTCAATTCACCACAATATTCCAAGAAGTTTTAAAATACAGATGCTTTGCCTGCAGTCGTGTAGTACTTATTTTGATATATTTTTTTCTGCCTAGATTGTTTCATTTATTATGAAAATGGTTTTGTTTGATTTTATTTTTTTTACACTGAACATTACAGAAAATTTCTTTTTTCCACCCTAACTTTTTAGAGTCCGACTGAAGGCTAAAAACTGAGGATTTGTTCCTCTGCATAACTTAAGCAAAAATGTGTCCTGCTTCAATGGAACATAGGTGATCTGACAGGGCTGCAGAATAATTTAGCATGCAGATTTTAGAAAATAAATTCTGAAAGGGAATATACCCAGAAACTCTGAAAATGTTAATAAAAGGTTCTTCACTCTAAACCACTGGTGGCATTTGAGGGCAAAACCTTTTGCGTTTTGATCTGCCAAGGTCAGGAAATACAGGCACACTTCCATATATTTCTCCCATATCTGGAAGGAGAGTCTAAGAAATTAAAGTGCTCTTGTAGATATATCCTTTTCTATTCAATATCATTGCAATTCTTATGACAAAAAGAATCTTTACTAATAATTAACTTTGTCTGGACCTGTGAAACCAACTTGTAATATCTTGCTATTATTATGTAGCTTAAAAAACCTTTTCATCTGTATGCTTTTATATTTATTGTCCAACGGTGATTGGGGTCATTCATTAGGAGAAGTATCTCTATTACTTTGACAAAAAGGTGATAACCTTGCCTCATTCTGGCCCAGGTATTTATTAATAACTCCCATATACCATTTTCCAGTACTATGCACAGCAATATTTTAATATGATGGTACAAATTGGATAATACAAATGTCCTCGATGCATTCTTACAACTCCCAGTGATAGTGATGACAATGCCCACAATCCTCTGTTAGATTGTTTTTGATGACTGCTCCAGCCAGCCTGCTTCATCTGGAGCCACATTTGCAGGTGTTTCATGGTCTCTGGACTCCTTCAGTCAAGCTGTGTTTCTTCCTGAGGGGATGCATTGTCACACAGCCCCCTAAAACTTTCCAATACCTGTCCTGCACAGGATTTATCTGCAGGAGATTAATTCCTGACTTCACAGATCCTTATCTGAGTGACCCAGGTTGGCACAGCCAGGTGGCATCCCAGAATATCTGTTCCAGATGATTGGAATATCATCTGCAGCAGCCCAGGTTCAAGAAGGGTTAGATGAGAAATGAGGAGATTCAGATGCTTCAGTTAAAGGCCTAAAAAGTTGTCACCAAGTGGGCAGCGGTCCTTTGCACAGTGTTGGTTATCTAGCTTGCCTAAAGGACTGTGAATGCCCCCATCTCCATTGGTGCCAGCTCCAGCTGTGTTTTTCCCATTGCCTTATGCATAAAAAGCAAGGCCCTGTTATTCTGCTCTTTGTTCAAATTTTTGAAGTTCTCTTGTCAACTACCACTAGCTCCTAGAAGCTTCCAGTCACTCATCAGGTCACTTCATAGCTTGTGTGAAGACTTCACTCGAGTAAAGTACCAGTAAATTCTGCATTTTCAGTATAAGATTCTTTTGGGTCATTAATGAAGAGCAACTGAACTAGTAAAAATGTGATAGGAAAATGATATGAGAAAAGGTGCAAGACCTGGGGAGGCTGGTAGGTCTGGGTTCAGAGGTAGTAAGTGTAGCTTGCTAAAACATTACATACATTCTTCCAAAGATGCCATTCAGTCACAGAACTTAAGATGGGAATTCATGCATATCTTCCCTAGTTATGTGTTAAAATCATGCTTTGCTGCACTCTTCTCCAATCTGAAATAACAAATTTCCTGAATGCTTGTTTTGATGGGGACCTTGAATCTGTTACAAATGTTGATGCTGCTTTTCTCCCTGAGATTTTTTCCTTTAAAATATTTGGTGCTAGCTTAAGAATACAGTTGTGAGGAGTTAGTTTTCCCTAGATGGCAGGAAGCTGTATCTGCACTTAGCTAGTACTTTCTTTTCAATTATACTATATATACATTGTTTTCAAGACAGACTGGGACTTTGGTGATAGATCTCTGTCACTGAAATCAGCCTTTTTTGCCTTAGAAAGCATCATCATAATATAAAAACTTGACCATAATGGGTATAAATATTAAAAGAAAAAAGCAAAATGAAAGAAAAATGAAGAGTTAGATCTGAACATGCAAACTGTACTAATGCTGTTTCTTTTTCTTTTTCTGTGTGATGGTTTCTTGGGGTAGGAATCACTTGCACATGCTACTGACATATCCTTACTGATATTGTATGAAATTATTGAGGTAGTTTTGAAAATTAAAAAAAAAGTTATTTCTTCAATAAGATTGTATTTTTTATTTCTTTTTTTTGTTGTGATAGTATCAGGGAAAAAACCCACATTATATTCTTTGCTTTCAAAATCAGCCAATCCTGTTTTTCCTTTTTTTTCCCTGATTGAATCAAAGGAAGATTTAAATATACTGGAGAATATGTTGATGAGAATCTTACTGCCCACAATGCATTAAGAAGTTAATAATTTCTTACAAATAAAGGATTCTAATAGGCCAATTGGTCTTGATAATAGAGACTGAAATCTTTTGTAAAGCTTCCTTATAGACTTTACCTATACCCCTGTTCAAGATGGTATTCAGATTAACATAAAGATGTTTAATCTAGAAGGCTTGTAAAAAGTTTGAAATTTCTTGCTTCTCATAGCACTTATTAAAAATGAAAGAAGGGAATTTATGTCCTTGTGGGGTGATATCAATCAATAGGATCTGGTTCTCAGAATTCATCATTACAGAATGTACTAAAATAGTACAAGATAAAACACAATGAAATAACTGTTATTTTATTGATACATAATCTAAAGATTTTTATAGCAAGTTTTCACTCCAGTTTCAGACACCAAAACATATTCTCTAAATGTATTTTTCACATTGGTCCTAGATGTCTAAGCTACAATTACAGTCACTGGAAATATATAGTTTGACTTAGCTATCCACACATAAACATCCAGTAACATCATGTTTTCCTCACCCAGCCTGTCTGTGAGTAGAAATAGAGATTTGACAAATAGTTCTAAAATGATGTTTAACTGGCATCTCTTTGATGTCAGGTCAATTTCAAGAATATGTGTTGTTTTTCATTTGGATATTTTAAAAAATTGTTTCTATATTAACAGAAAAGCCTCAGTATTTAGAAAAGATATTTCTTTGCTGAATATTTTGTCTACCTCAAGGTAAATGCAAAATTTTAAACTATATTTTTTATTCATCTGATATGCTCAGAGTGCAGAAGGGAAAAGAGCACATGTATAAGCACAAATAGTTTTTTATTGAAAGAGATAGTCACTGAATCCCTCTTGGCAGAATTTTGAGAGTTAAAACATTTAGATAATTTTAAGCACCTGTGAACTAAGCAGAAGCAATGATGTCACATCTCTCCCCCTTCTATGACAAAAATAGTCTTTTGACAGCCCTTTGGCATCAACAGAGATGATCAGAATCACATGAGCTCCAGTGCAAAAAACAACCTCAAGACATTTATTTTCTGTCCCAGTGGTATACTTTCATATGAACTCTGTCTCCCTTATATTTATTCATCTCTTTGGGCCACTGAAATTGAATATTGAATACCCAAGTCATGTCTCTTTGTGCACCAGGAAGGTCAGACAACTTGATTACACCAGCTATAATCAAAGAGTATTCATTTTTTTCATGTCTGCTCACCATTTCTGCAAGAACAGAACTTTGCCAGAAGTAGCAGGATGGATGAACAAATCTTTGGAAAAGAGTAGTTCAGCACTGGGTATATGCAGCATTTTAAGAAAAAAACCATTCTCTACTACTTAAAAAAACAACAACACAAAAAAATGAAGCAAAAAACCCCAAAAAGATTAAAGTGTGTGTGGATATGTTTATTAACTATAAAATAAATGAATTTTTACCCTGTGCAGAAACAAAGTGAGAAAGCTAGTGCAGAGGCAGGTCATCATGTGTGAAAAAAAGTTAAAGCTCATACCAAGCAAAGCTGAGCTTTCTTGTCGGTTTTCATTCAGCTGCACTCATCTATAAAAGAGCTATTAAAAACATCCATTAGCTGTTAATTTAGAATACTTCAGACAGTGATCCCTAAACCTTCATTGATATCTTTCCAACAACCTCCTAATCTCTGAAAATTGTTGGCAAGAGCTTTACTGAATCAGCCAATCATCAATCCTGGCTTTCATTATTTGAGTTAACACAGATGCACGACCTGCAAACACTTAGAAGAAATACAGATCTTCCTTTTGCTTGAAAGGCATACTTACAAGCAGAATTTGATTTCATGAATGGAGTTGCTTGTCTTATCTACATCATCTCAAATTAATGGCAGTAAAGCCAAAAACCATCTATGTTCAGTTTACAAAAATAAAGACAGGAACCATTGTTAAAACACTGCTAAAATCTATGATTTGCCTTTTGTGATTTTGCTACTAACAAAAGCAAGCAAAATAAATAAAAAAAAACCAAAAAAAAACAAAACAAAAAAAAACCACCAAAAAATAAAAGCACAGCAAAAAACCTCTCTGATGAATTTAGTAAAATTTTGATGTATTGTGATTTTTTTCATTGTCATATCCTGGACAGACAAACATCTTTCCATGGATTCAAATGGGAATACAGACAATTTAAAATGTGTTATCTGTTGACAGTGGAATAATGTTTCAAATATTTTTGGAGGTCTACTTAAATTAGGCACAAACCCTGCCTTTGCTTAATCTGGGCCTTATCTTTCATGTTAATATCTGGTAATACATGAGCATTGCAATTCATGCATCAATCTGAGTATTTATTAGTTTAATATGTTTCCTTAGACCCTAACAGCTATTTCTTATTTAAAAGGACATGTTTTTCTTCATCAGTTCCAGCTACCTGCTAGGATAATTTGCTAGTTGCCTCAATAGCCTATCTTCCCTCATATGAGATTATTTTTTTTTTTGGATGCAATTTTCCTATGGGTATTTCAGGTACTAATGTGGTAGTCTTTGTGACCAGTGCTGCTGCCTTTTGCTTCAGCAAGCAGCCCCCAATACGCTGTCAATTTGGTTTGCTTGGAAGGACCTTAGAACTTCTGAATACAGAATAGTGTGGGAAAAGTAGAAAAAGTAGACCTCTCTTGCTAATTCAAAATATTATTCTTGAAAGAAAGAAAAATATTTAGAACTGCATTTAAAAAGATGTGGAAATCTATGAATGCAGAGGCAGAATTCTAATGAACAGATGAGGAATTTTTCTAAGAGATTCAACCATGACTTAGGTTTTAAGATGAAAGTTCAAAGAGGATTTTTTGCTTTGAAAAAATTACGTACATACATGTGGAAGTTCATCTTCCACATTATAATGTAGGAACGTCGTATCTTGAAGCTGAGAGGCTTTTTTGAAAAAAAAACAAAAAACCTTGGAATGTTTATTTTTAAGTTCAGCCACTTTGGAAAGACAGAAACATAAATACACATTTATATTTTGAATTAATTTTAGGCTTCAATCAGCATAGACTTTTTCATTGCATTACAAACTAAGCACAGTTGTTGGTGTCCTCCAAGCTAAATTTACAGAGCCAAGTATGAGAAATTCATGCAGAGCTATAAATATTAATCTGAATTACACACCAAGGATGTCCACTAACACAGATTCAACAAACTAATGTGAAGTTATTTCATGTTTTTGTAGTCAACTGTGCTAATGTAATTACTTATGTTCTAAGCAAGGAGATACACAATAACTTTAAATAATCCTTATATTATCTCCCTACTTTTCACTACCACGTGGCCATTAAAAAATGTTACATCTTGGGTAAGATAAAATGGAATTTTTTTTATCTTTCAAAATTTACCTTTTTTTTTTTTTTTTTCTTTTAGAATAGTGGTTTCCAACATAAAGAACAGACACACACCACTGAGGTTCAAACACACATTAATATGTTGGAGCCGTGTTCAGGGCATTCTTTTTATGGTATTCGCCATATTCCCCAGCCTTAAAATTAAAATATGTCCCAGAGATAGCTGCAGAATAATTTACTAAGCAGACATGAAAGTACAACACAATTCCCTGTTTCTATTTACAAATACTCTTACTCTGGCTAGGTAGAGGATCTTATTTTTCTTAAACCCTGTGGATATAAGGTACCAAGTTAGTTGATCTTCCCTTGAAATGCGCCCATGGAAGATGTTGCAAACAAGCTCATTCTGAGACACAGGTCTAGGGGAGAAGCCGTAGCAGGAGCAGCTGAGGTCACTTGGACTTTTCAGCCTGGAGGAGACTTCATGGCAGTCCACGTGTTCCTTGTGAGGGCCAGCGCAGGGGCAGGCACTGAGCTCTTCTCTCTGGTGGCCAGTGACAGCACCCAAGGGAACACCATGAATCTGCGTCAGGGGAGACACATTAGGAAAATTAATTCATCAAGCATGAGGAAAAGTTCTCCGCCCAGAGGATGTTTGGGCACTGGAACAGGCTCACCAGGGAAGTGGTCACAGCACCGAGCCCGACAGAGCTCAAGAATCATTTGGACAATGCTCTCAGCCACAGGGTGTGACCCTCAGGATTGCCCTGTGCGGGGACAGGAATAAAACTCAATGCTCACTGCAGGTCCCTTCCATCTCAGGATATTCCATGGTTCTGTGATTCTCATTACATGCTTTTTAGATGAATAGCAAGCTTCAAATTAATGAAACCAAACAAAAAAGAAAGTAGTAATAGTTCAATGAAACAAAAACCTCACCACTGAACATTGGAATGATACTGAATAGTGGCTATTAGGCAGGACCTGAATATTGTCTCAGATGAAAGAAGGAATTTAAAAAAAAAAAAAGAAAGAAAAAGTCTTTAGAATACAACTGGTGCAATCTAAGAAAATTTGGTATTTTTTGTATGCCCATAATTACTTTGTACGTCCATAATTTTTTCTTACTCTTTCTTCATAACCTACCTTGCATTTCATATATCCAAATGTGGGTGCATTAGGAAAAAAAATGCACTGGACATCTTCAAAACATCATGAAATCTATGGCCTTTATTATCAGATAAAAATAATATGGAAATTACAAGATAGCTAAGTGCAAGACATGATTGTTTGAAATCCAAATTTATTACTAACACATATTTTATGCTCATTTGTGTGCCTGATTTTTGGGTGCAGTTACTGAGACACTGGTGATAACACCTTGTTCATGAAATCATATTTTGTTTCTATTACTTAGTAAGATTTGGAAACAGCTCGTGATCTCCCATGAGATATGAAATCATGGCAAATTTATATAAATTTGACAGTGTCACGCTTATTTTTTGTTACATTCTAATGTGTTTCTAATTGAAAAATCAAATTCCATATGCATTTTTTATATTTCATATGTATAAAAAATGCATAAATACATCTATGTGCATTAATCAAGACTTTTATTTAAAGCTGATTCAATAATAGAGAAATGCAATAATAGATAATGTCTTATTATTTACCTCCTTAGCTGGAATGGAGAAAGTTCTAACTTAGGAAGGCAGACAGTTTGTTTAATTGTCTCTCATTTTTCCTTCACAGTATGTTATGCTAGGTGAAAACCATTTTCTACATAAATCAGTTTTCTCCAGGATATATGGTTCTCAGAGGATATAAAATCTCTTGGATCTCAGCTTCAGATGGCACAATCCTGGTGAAATCAAAAGAACCATAGCAAATTATGTCTGTAAAGGATCTGGCTCAATTGTACCTGAAGATAAAAAGGAAGAAGTGTTTTAAAACATTACACAGCCATTCATAGATACATACAGGAATTGCAAAACAGTTGCTCCAGGTCTTATTAAAATGGCATTAAACACTTAATGCTGCAGATATCCTTCTGGCAGATCACCTCTCCAGGCCTTGACAGCTCCCACGTGCCCAGTGAAACTCCTTGACAAAACAGAGGCTACAGAGACTCCTTCATTCACATGCTGCAGTTATCAGTGTGACATAACAGCATGGACTGACAGATGCTATGGAATTTAACTTCTAGTGTGTGCTTTATTAGTGTCAGTATTTACTGAACTTTTATATTTGGTTTCTAAGCCATACAATATTATCTCCTTCTACCTTTTTCTGCTTCTTCGTTTCTTTCATTTGCTCATCCAAATTGCCAGTTACTCCATAACTGACACAACCTATTAATTGACATTAACCTCAGGTGATCCCTGATGTTTGTCATCCTGAAAATGTTCAGATCATAATTGCCCTAAGTTTAATAAGGGATGCCAAGGTGGATAGGGGCAAGTAGAGGCTACATTAATTTTCTTGGCATGATCGAGGTAAAAAACACTTTATCTTCAACTGAAGACATGTCCTGAATCTCTATATTTTATGACCTACTCTTAAAGCCAATACCAGGTTAGTTCAGCATCCACTCATATACCCCTCTAACACGTGATAAAGTGATAGAAAAATTAATAATAAAAACCAGTGTGAACAGTACTTGAGATGAACACAAACAATAAAGAAAATAAAATAGAAAGACAGATGAACAGTAGAAATAAACATATTTATTAGAGAAAAATAAAGGAGAATTATGCTCTTTGGCTCAGCTGAGGGAAGCACTTAAGCACACACAAAAATTCATCTATATTAACAGGCAAGTTGAACTTGTGACTTCAATGGAGCCTCAGCTTGGGTTTCACTCCATCACCATCCTGAACAGAAAGAAGCTTTACATTGTCAGCTTCTTCACAAAGCACAGATGTTCATAAGCCAAATGCTGTCTGGGCTGACCTCTGCCTCTAGAACAAAGTTGCTCTGGTCTCTACATATGTGCGTTTCACTGCAGCAGGCTGTGAGTGAGACCTGGGGTGTGCTTCAGTGCTGGAGTCAAGAGGTCTCGGATGATGAAGGAAGGACTAAAGCATCTGTATTACCAGAGTTTATGTGAAACCAGAGAGAGAGAATATCTTTACATTAGGAACCTGCTGACAACATGAAGGGCACTGTTGTGTCCTTTTACACAGCAGTATAGGGCTCTAAATTGCTAAAGGTGGTCACTATTGAAAGTGAAACACTGTTCAGAAAATAATATTATGGCCTATCTTACATGCCTATCTTAAAAAAGGCAAGGTTCAGCCAGTGTGGTTAAAATAATAATAAAAAAAAAAAACAACAAAAAAGACAGAGGCAGAAAGGATGGCAGTATTCAGTTCAAATGAGTTATGTTTGACAAAAAGGAGATACCAGCAATCAGAAGTAATCATCAACATTATCCCATTCATTTTTTACAAGGTTGAACTCGCAAAGAAGGCTTGGATCTCCACACTTGAAAAGATGCTAGGAGCTGGTTTGCATTGCCAAGGAGCTCAGCCTGCATTGTGTTAGGTTGTGGAAGAAGTGGGTGCTGTTCTTATCCTTCAGAGCTGGAAGGGAACTTGGTGGGAAGAAAGGGACAGTGAAGAAAAATAACACTTAGAAAATTCACAGTGTAAAATCAGCTGGGATTCTCTCTTTCCGATGCATATCACAAAGGAAAACAGCAGTTTTCTCCAAAGATGCTGTGAGTATGTCCAGAATTTCTTAAGGGAAACCCCCACCACTGGCAGTGGCCATGGCTGGTAATCAGAGAGCTTTGGACTGCCCAAGCGTGCAGGTGCTGAGGGTCAGGAAGTCAGTGCTCTCAGACAAAAAGGACACCTAGGAAAATATTGAAGCACCAACTTAATACTTGTGGTAATGACTGGGCAGCAAAAGGGGCTAATCCCTGTAAGCACCTAAAACTTTGAGGGGAAAAGATATCAGCAAAAGATGAAAACAACTTGCAGGGATCAATGGACCCCAAACCCTGCAACTGCAAAGAAATAAGGTTTACATGGCAAAGTTGAATTGCAAATGTATTACATTGTACAATTTATTTGTTAGTAAATGGGACCTGGAAAGAGAAACCCAGTTCAACTCAGTTCACAAGAATTTTTCCTCTGAATCTCTGACATAGTAAAAGCTATGGTTTTGTTAGGAGTCTAAAGCTCTTAGAAAGCTTTTATTATCACCAGTATACTAAGCTTTAACTGCCTCTAAAAATGTTGAAAGAAGAGAACAAAATGAAGACTAAAATTGGGTTTTCATTTTGCTTGTTCTGCATCAGCTTTTAATTTATGATTGGACTATAAAAGATATGTAGTTTTGCAAACTTCTATTCTTAAGCTTATTTAATATAAGAATTTAAGTGAGTAGATCTCTTGCATCCTCCTGTTGTTCCTCCAAGGACCATCACTTCATTTCATGAAAAGAAGTTGCACAGATTGCCTTCCAGATTGTTAAAGCAGGAATTTTGGTCTCTAATAGTTACATGATTTCTGTTATATTCTTCACAATAAAGAGAAATATTATTTTAAAAATACCTATTGCAACTTTCAAAACTATTTTCAGGAGCTCTGTGAAAGTACTGAAGTTAATTTAATCACTCAGTTTCCATTTATTAATCAGGTCTGAAAAAACAGTGTTGTCACATACCAGACAGCAGCAGATAACTATCCTAGCAGTTTCTGCTGTCTGTTATTGCATACAATGAAAATGCAATTAATAATGAGCCTGACTCCAGGAGAATAGATATTTACTTAAGCTGGGAGGATAGAATCACACCTTCAGTGATTTAAATATATGCACTGTAATGTCATAAGGACACTTGAGTAGGAAGACTGCTTCTGTTGGGATCACAGATGTTTTTCTTGAAATAGTATTTTTAAATTGTGACCCAGCAGAAGAGACATCCTACAGACATTCCCAGTCTCTGCCCCAAGCTACACAAGAAAAGGACATGTAGGATGGATTATCCGTTGGTACCTGAGGAATTCTGAAAGGAAACTTCTTTGCTGACATATGGGAAGGATTGTCCCTCATCCCCCTTGTTTATGCACAGGCTCTTCCTCTAGCCTCTGGCTGTTTTTTCCCAAGATTTCTATCCTGAGTACCTCCTCCTTTGAAATTTGGAGCTGCGATTCTGAAACTTGCAAGGTGGACCTTGAAGGGGAGTAGCTTACTTTACTCCCTCCACAGGTGGGTGATCACTTGGCTGAGAACATTTTGTTCAGTTAAAAGTTCATTAAATGAGAAGATTACCTGCTAAAACTTCATTTCCTCCTTATCTAGCAGAATATGGCTTTACACCAATTTTAGAGCATTTGAAAAAACCTTCATTTAGGACTTGCACTAGAAATAGTCACAGACCTGGAAAAGGGTAAGGGAATGGATGTACAAAGAGGCAAAAAGCAGCTGCACAGCCCGCTTCTGCAGCACTTGTTCTGTCAGAATGCCTTCTTGGGGCACTGGGAGGGATGGAGCCTCTGTTTTGGTACTGGGGGGTGCAAGGACTGCACACAACTCATGTGGCAGCCCAGCAATGTGACACACACCCAGGGCTGGTCACTTAGAGGCTGGATGATGTAATGTACAATACTCTTTTTGAGTAGCTCAAGCAGATATTCGGGTTTTTCTGATGTATTTTTGTCCACCACAGCTACCAAACACTTATAACACTTTGACCCTGTACAATAATACATTTTACTCTAAATCACAAAGGCAGACCCAAAACTAGTTCTTTTACATGCTGGCAAATGAGCAAAATATAGAGTAAATTGCAACAACAGGAAGTAAGGATATTTTTGTATCATTCTGGAACAATCCATTGACAAATATAAAGGGAGACATGTATGGCTCTTGTAACCATGTGTTAATGATGAAATACAACATCAAGAATTTTAATTTTACTGAAATTACAGTTGTCAAAATAATTGCATTAGTTAATTTAAAATTCTTCATTGGGGAATGGCCCAGTCTATATCTCTGTTGCTCAAAATGTTTTATTGTGTAATCACTGCGCTTTTTTGATGAGCAATTTCTTTAATGTTATGCTATATATATGTATGGCAAAACTGTGAGTGATCTTTGTTTTTATACAGTACTCTGTTTTGCATATAAAATACATTATGCATATTCTCTCTCCCTGTCTCCAACTCCTACCTTCAGAAAGCAGAGAATGGAGATCCAGTGTTCCCTAGTGTCTGCGATTATATTTTGGTTTGTTCAAGCTTTCGAACTTTTTTGTTTCCCAAACCATCCACCTGCAAAATAACTGTAACAATCTCAACTATGCAGCTACTCCAGATTCCTGGACTGAGGACTGACACAGTGCATTAGGTACAACAGCCCCCACGTCCTCCCTTTGCTTCTGCTCTTTTCCTCTGTTAACGCTGGCAGCTTGGAGAATAAGCAGGAATTATTTCTTGCAGGGGAATAATCTGTCCTGGGCTGCTTAAATTAACTTTATGCAGAAAATGGCCATGCTACATCACAGCCAGGCCCATAATGTCTTGACAGAAAAGGATGATAAGTAGTCCCTTTTCTCTGATGGCATCTTTCCCTTTCTCTGGATGCTGATCTGCTGCGTCTGCCTGCCTGCTTTATTCACACAGTGAATGGTACATTCACTTTCCTTGAGCTTCCTCAGAAAATACACTGATTTTTTTCAAAATACACAATTTATTCATTTGTGTGTCCAAAGATCTGGATGATGTTGGTAATGGTTTTGCATTCCAGTAAGCTTAAGGATAGTGAAAACAGATCAGCAGAGGTAGTGGCTAATCAGGTAATATGGTTTTGCTGTTCCTCTGTAGAGGAGCAGATCTGCAATTGGCTTGTTTGATACCAGAAGTCATTTGAGGATGGGGACATGGAACTGACATAGCATGGTTCAGAAGAAAATCCTTGGTTTAGAATATCTTTTCTGGTGCAGTTTCTTCATCTGATTAACACAGCAGAGCATTGGTACTCTGTTTGGCTGTTTGTTGAAGAACAGGTGAAGCAGAGAATATAACCTACAATGGGTGGTGTAGAGGATGACAGAGAGACAGATACAGACAAAAAGAAGGATAAAGTCCTGTCTGGGAAATCACACATAACCTGAAATTATGTGTTAAGTAGTGAACCTGATGGTGTTGTGATGCAAACTGTGATGCCGTGCGGATATGCACTGACTTACATCCTCTGGAGATTTAATCCCCAGACTATCAAACTGTTCACGCTGGAATGCCAGTATTAAACTAACCTTGGAGAGCTACAAAACATGCATTAACAAAACAGCCCACAGAAAAAACCTGGAAGGCACAGCAGTACAGCAATTCTCAGCAGCTCACTATGATGTACGCAGGCTGAGCGTGATGGAAGCAGTTAATTGATAAATAAAGCTACTAAATATTGTCTGTGCATTTAGACAGTGCATTGAATGGTTTCTCATTGTGCAGGGGAAATAGGCACACTTCCAACCACCCTGATTTACCCTTGGACATTTCATGACTATGTCTTATCGCTCAGTTGAGCATAAATTCATAGATTTTATGGTTAAGGGAGCTTGAGATGGGCTCCTATATTTTCAGCACTTAGTTCTGCCACTTCTTATTGGACCATCTGCTGTCACCTTAAAGACACAAGTGTATATTATCAAGGTAAACATACAAATCATTCCAGCATTTGATATTAAAAAAAAAAAAGAGAAACCCTTAAAAGTATTGATCCAAATGTGTCAATAATGTCACAGAGATAAATCCTTAAAAAAGAAAATAACATAAATATTTTCTGTGCAAATTGAAACAGGATGTTTTCACCACACCATAAAAATGTTTCCTGTTTACAGAACTTTAAAATTTATTTATTTCAATGAAAATGCAAGATTCAGTCCAGTTCCAGTAGGATAATTTTAAAATAAAGGAAAAGAGAGAAAAGGAAAAAATTATCACAATTACTTTGGAACTGAATGATATTATCTAACACTATGATTGAAAGTCAATCTTTCAGGGACTGAGTGCATCTAAAAACAGATGAACACACTGTAACATTCATCTATGTGTACACAAAATAGATTTATATACACAAATATGTGTGCACACTCGTAGGCAGGCTTAATACATGCCATAGTTTCAAATTCAAGAAAGAGAGATGCACATGAAACTCAGTTTTAGGGGAAGGATCATTGGACTTTGAAGCAAAACTAAATCTTACCACAGTTTATGTACATATCACTACATAAGACTCTGATAATATTACAAAACAAAGGTTATTGTCTATAAGACCTATGGCATGAATAAATCTGCTGACCACTCCCTTCTGTAGTTTCCATCATTAGCACCTTGATCTTTTACACACACACACACACACATATATGCACAAACATACATGTTTATCTGCAATCATTGTGGTGTTGGATTTTTTTTCTCCCTTAGGAAAATAGACTAAACTCAAAAATGGATATACTGAGTCTGCTTCTTTCACAGATTCCCATTTTAATGGGCACCTAATATATGTGATAAGCAGATGACAGAAGTGGGGAAAATAATTGTAAATAACAAAAATATTAAAAATAAAAGTAAATTAAATGTTAAAAAGTGTATATTTGTACAGTGCATGCTGTACTTTAGCAAATGTATTTGAAATTAATTCCCTTTTATTGCCTAGATCAATACCATTGTGATCACTACTGATTAAAATGGAAACACTTATAAATAAAGTACACCAAATTTTCTCAAATTAACTTCCCCACCTCCTAAGCATTTAAAAAAATAATCCACAAAAGATTTTGAGCATCTTGTTTCTTTTGAGGCAGTGTAATCATACAAATTTTTATTCATATCTGATACTACAAAAGCTAAAGAAAGGTTCTATTGTTAGTATGTACCATATTATTGGTATTAACACACTCTAAATATGTGGAAATCTCATTCCAGCGGGGTTTTCTGTTTAATTTGTTCCCCTGTGATAATTACAGTTTTTGTCTGAGATGAGAGTCTTTTTTGTTAAGCTCCAGTGCTTCTGTGCAGTCCAACTGTTATGCTGAGAAGTAAATGAAAAAGCCTGTGCTCAAAAGCAATGGAAATAGGCCTCAGTATATTCTTTTTCAGGTCTCAGCTCTGTGCAGAACAAAAACACACCGTGTGATTTTGAAAGATGATGTCCTATGGATGTGTCAGAAATTATGGCAATTTTCCATTGAAATATAGGAGTCCCTCCAAAGAGTTAATTTTATTTTATTAGTTTATTTGGCTCCCTTATTTATTATTTATTTGTATTAGGAACAGTTGAAGCAACAAATAGATATGTATGTACATACAGATGCATGCACACTTTGGTATAGTTCTACATAAGAATGCATGTAAATATGTACGTATTGCTCTTCACTCTAGTTTCATTTTACCAAGGTAACTTGAAGTAGAGTGGTAGGTTTTAAGATTAACAACACTTACCAGTAATCAGTGAGCTGGTTTCCTCAAGTATCATCCATTCCAGTGAGTGAAAAAATTGGTGCAGAGCAACATTGTCACTTAGATGGCATCTGTCATCTCATTCTGTTTCTAACACATAAACCAGCATCAGATACACAAAAGTTACACTCTTCCCATTTATTTTTTTCATACAGGTACGGTACATGGATAACAACAGACACGAAGAGTGATAAAATGTAGGAATAGCCCTACTGGCCATGCAAATGGCAGGAAGCTAGGAAGAAAGAACCACAGCACACAGCAAGAAAGGCTGAGAATTGAAAATGACCTTGACAGATTTGCAAAATGGTCTGGAAAAAAATACAGGGAGGGAGTATGAAATTCACGAAGGACAAGTGCAAGGCACTACTTAAAAGATAAATGTTCAATAAATAGGGGTTAGAGTATAGCTGATGGACAGAATTTTTTCTTAGAAACTAGTAGCTATATGGGTTATCCCTACTGCAGACTTGATGTGCTACAAGCATCAAATTTCTGAAGGGAAAAAAAAATATTCTGAGGTGCAAATGCAAGAGAAAAATATACATAATATTTAAAACAAAATAATTCTTTCTGGTTTTTTTGTGTTGTGAAGGCATTAGTAAAAGTATCTGAATATCATGCTTCAGAACTGACATGTCTGTTGACAAGAATGATCAGAAGTCTATGAACCTTCAAAAAGACTGGATGCATTTAGTTCCTGTAAAGATGATAAATAGGGGAGTTATGGTACGTTTTTCTGAGAAGAACAGAAAAGCCTGATACTCCTATTCCTGCTAAACCTGAAAAGAAAGTCTGGATGCAAAATCCAACAAGAAGGGTTTTGCTTAGGGATCAGAATTTTTTATAGGCAAGCTGTTTCGGCTCATGGAGAGAGAGGTTGGTGGATATAGGGACTCATGGAAGGACAAGGAGACTTGAACACATTTACACAGAACAGCCTGCTCCAATGTCTTATTTCATTGCATTTACTTCAAATGTCCAAAACATGTCATTCACCTCATTCCCTTTTTAAAAAGCAAGGGGGTTTCCATTCCCTTTCCCATGATCCTGATTCTATCTTGCTCTCTTGCTTTTCTTCTTTGTACAGTTATTTGCCTCAAAGACATCCATTTCTGTGTCTCTTCAGTCACAGTGCATCACTTTCCCTTCTCTCTTGGCAGATTTCTGTCTTCTCTTCCTTTAGCTTTCTCCTTTCTTGTCCTGTCCTGTTTTTCAAGAGGGAGGGAAACCCTGAAGCTGGAGACTCCCAGAGGCAGCTATTTCTCTTCTGGGATTTTAGAGATAGAATGCAAGGGGTTAGACCTGCTGTGTTTTCCCAGTTCTTGGGTTGCAAGGTGGGCAAAGTGGAAGGAGCCAAAGAGCAGCAGGATCTGCTGCTAAGGGAAACTCAAAGAGGAGTTCATCAAGCCCCAGCTGTTGCTGTGGACAGCCTCTTTCTGCTCTAGCATGGGGGTGACAGTTTGGATTATTACTGGGGAACCTAGACTATGCTTATTTTCACTCTTGCTGGATCTCATCCCCTTTACTATCTCAAGGCAAAGAACTTGATTTCAACCTTCAGCCTCTTAGCAGTGCTGCAAAGGAACAATATCTGCCTTTTAAGGCATTTTTGGAGAAAACCTTTTGTTTTGGAAGGGGTAGAGGGAGAATATTTTTCTTCTTCTCTTTAGTTTATCAATTCCTCCTAGTCTTGGCTTAGTCTAAAGTGTGATTCTGCACAGCTCCTGTGGTGGTCTCTTCCCCTTGGACAAAGCACAGGTCCTGCTGATCAGACTACAGGAAAGCCCTATCTTAGCATAGCTGTTTCTTCTTTTCCTGTTTCATAACTGATATTGTTTGTACAGTAGTTTACGCACAAACTCACAGATATCACAAGCACTCATCACACTCTGTTGGAGCAGGTCCTTGGCTCCTAACAGCGTTTCCTCTGCAAGCATACGGGATTAGATATTGTAGCCCCTCTCTGATCTCTCCACTGAGACTCTGTGATAATGCCCTGATTGCACTGCTACTCCCCTGCCCCTCCTCACAAGGGCTTTCACTTGCCAGCTGGTGCCAGGAGCTGCTTTAACTGGTCCTGAAAGATTGCTCCTCTCTGGGTATGTGTTAACAGCACAGTGCTCTCCTTACCACAGCATGTCACCTCTGCACAGTCGCTTGGAGGTTGCAAGCTGGGAATCCTGAAAACAAGAAAATCAAAGACAGCACATGTATGCAGTCTCTGGGCTGTTCATAATGGGTGTGATATGGTGGCCACTCAGCAGTTAGCAAGGAGCATTCAGGGGGTAAATCTGCCCAACAACAGCGGAGGTTCTGTAGGTCCCTTAGTAGCTGCTGTAGGAAATGTCGTCTCCTTTGTGGGAGCTCCCCTCTCTGTGTTTGCACTGCCACACTGGTGCCAGGACCTTAGTCCCAAAAAGCTGCCAAAGAAACTGGCAAAACGTTTCGCACTGCTGGCCCTGTCCTCGGCCCTGTGCTGTGGGAGCCCTGCAGGGTGGCAGCGCTGGCCCCTCAGACCTGCCAGCTGCCAGCACAGCCCGACAGGCAAACAAACAAACAGAAATCCCAAAGAAAACAACAGCGATTGAACCAGCCCACACTGATAAAAGATTCCTGAAGGGTTTTAGGAAATGTATTTGTCATTCAAAAAAAAGAAAGAAAAAAACACAGGCAGCAACCAAAACTAGGCATATCAGACTCACCACATCACAGCACCATCTCATTTTGAACAGGGATGTGGTTACCTCGGCTATGTAGTGGGTAGCCTTTGTGAAAACCAAATAAACAAACAACACACACACTCCACTAATGCAGGAGCTGCTCTCAGACTGCATATTGGCTCTGAGCCACATCTCCCGCAGTAAGGGGAGTGTGGAAATGCACAGCCTTGGCAGCAGCTTCCAGTGCCTCAGGCTCTCACAGTTTACTTTATTTATTTATAGGATTTTCTATGGCACTCGTCACCCTCATATCTAAGCATCTTAGAGGTATTAGTAGACTTACCCTCTCAACCCCTCTTTGAGATACAAAATTATTATCTCCATTTTACAGATACAAAACTAATAGGTCACTAACTTGCTCAGTTTCAGAAGGAGACTCTGGCAGAATTAGAGACTGGACAAGCCCCTGAGTTCCATTCCTGAACTTTAACCACAGAAATTTCCCTCCAGGGTTATTAATGAGGCTGATGAAATACAGAAAGCTGAACATCATCATGGATATGTTTGACTCCTGATTTTTTTATTTTTCTACAGTGTTGGGTCTAGCAACTTTTCAGTACATAGAAAAAAAGGTAAAATTCTATTTACATTTTTCATCTCTGAGGTCTAAATAGGGATATCAATACAGCACACCTTTTTCATTAGTGTTTATAATAAGAGAAACTGATATACTTTAGACTTCCATGTAACCAAAAGTCTAACACATTTTTGGCATGATACTAATCCTAAATTAGTTGCTCTATGTTTATTTTCCTTTTTTTTGCTTCTGTTTGTAGCTAATTTTTCTAATTTGAGGACAATCTGGTGCTTCTCTGAAGATTCTTTTTTCATTCCATTTTTTCATCAACTCGTCCCAGTTGATAACTTCAAGAATGAAACTGCCTGTTGTGCAGCTATTCTGGTGTTCGAACAGGCCTCTGCTATAAAGAGTTGTGCTTCTTGCTCTCCATCACTGTAAGGAAAAGCAGCAGAAGAAACCAGGAGGATCCCATGTCACTGCAAATGAACCATGAATTTCCAGGGTTCAAAGGACAATGAGAAAGACAGGATGAGTCATGTGACTTTTGTGTTGCACCCTGATAAATGGCAGGTCAAGGAGGGTTGTGTTTAATAGTATATTCCTCAATGAAATGTCACTTTTTCCTCAATGTGTCCTCTGTGTGAGCTAATTAAAATCATGTTTTACTGCAATGTCAGCACATGAAGTTGCTGACTTTCTTGTTGTCTTCTACATAGTACAAAATGAATGTTGTCATTTGATAAATTCAGGATCTTAAAGGTTCTGTCTGATGGGGTCTAATGTATGCTGCTCTATATATGTTTAATGCTTTCAAACTGCCTTTCTTCCTTTGTTCAAATCACAGGATTCATGACCTGTACATAATGTTCTCTCCTGCCATCCTTAAGCCTCAAACTCTTCAAAACTACAGAATTTTTAAAATCTCTCAAGCAAATATTGGCATTTCTTCCCTTTCAGACTGTTTTAAATTAGTTTAGAAGCAATGTGTCCAAAAGCCACACTCATATGAAGCCAATGAGAATTGGCTGTACAGATGTAATTTTCTTACAGGTTACTTTCATACTGATATCAGGGTGTGTTTGCAATGTTCATTTGGAAATAAATTCTACCACCTTGCACCACACCTATAATAAGCAGTAGTTAAAGAGTATGGCTATAGAAAGCATGGGATTAATTTCTCTAACCAATAGCAACTGCAGAATTGGCACCAGGATTCTTCTTTGGAAGAACCTCTTGGAAACTGCCATTTATGGTGCATCTCAATAACAGGAACATGAATGAGAAAAACAAACAAACTACTACTGCATTAAGTTTTGCTTTTACTATTTATATCCTTTTTATCCTGTAAAATTTATTTAACAAAAAAACAAAGTCAGTATCTCTGCATGTTTTACAGTAAATGACAAAGGGCAAAGTTTCCAGCTTTGGCCTGATGCTATATCACTTTGTGCTGGAATCCACGCAGACCTTGTAAATTAGCATGGGACTGAGTCAGTTCTTCAGTGAGTATTGTCCTCATATTAATCTGTTGATAGGTGCTACAGCATGAGTGGTGGCAATTCAAGCCATGGCTCAGTCCAGGGTGTACCTTCACCCTCTTTCCCTCCCTCCATCTTCATCCAGTTTGTTGCCCTAGTGCTGAGAGCCCGTGCAATGCTGACTTCTGGCTGAGATACAAAACACAGATCTCAAAACAATTCTCTCACCTCCTAAAGACCTTATCTGAAGCCCATTAAAGCTGATGAGAGCCTTCCCATTGACTTCAGAAGGCCTCAGATCCAGTCCCCCAGGGAAAAGATGTTAACACTCTTGCATCCTTAAACCAGCCAGGAGAACTTCTTGAAATC